ATGCCGTGAATGAGCCCTTGTTTTTGCCACCTGATTTAGATCAAAGTGTCTAAAAGTTCATATCTAGGGTGGTCAGGATTTTGCTTAGAATATCAAACTTTAATTACCTTTTCTGCTTATAGCATAAGAAGAAGTTCCAGACTTGGACATTTTTAGGTGCCACATTTTCTGAAACACATTTAAACAGAGAGCACTGCAATAAGAATCATCTTTATAGTAAAGTGTTTTTCGTTTAGTTGTTTTTATGCTACAAAAAATACACTAAAGGGAATTGAGACTTTGCCCAGAGCACGTTGCAGATCCTGAAGCTGTCACCACTGTAAATGGTCTGTTCACTTACATTTTGAATGGTTTTATTCCAGTTCTTTAATGCCCAAGGAAGTGGGGAATGGCAGGGAAGGCAACTCAGCTGCAAATTGTGATCTTTCTTTTTTTATACACAGTTGTTTCAGTTTCAGACACTAACTTTAAAACGTCCCCTTCTTTGCAAGCAAAACGTGTTTGGAGGTTGATTAAATAGGGCTTCCTTTTTAGAGGTCGTTTCATTTGGTATACAATTCATGCCTTTGTCCTTGAAGCTATTAATTCCTGAATTTGGCACTTTTTCTTTTTTTGTGTGTGTTTAATTAAAATTCAGTCAAAGCTGGAAGAAGCTCTCAACCTGGCAACAGAATTCCAGAATTCCCTGCAAGAATTTATCAACTGGCTCACTCTAGCAGAACAGAATTTAAATATCGCTTCTCCTCCCAGCCTGATTCTAAACACTGTCCTTTCCCAGATAGAGGAGCACAAGGTAACTATGGCACACACTATGATATCCTCTTCCTTTTGAAAGGACTGGTTGAAAGAGATGCTCCAGTACCTTATCTTCAGTTTAAAAAGAACAATATTTTTCCTTTAGGTTTTTGCTAATGAAGTAAATGCTCATCGAGACCAGATCATTGAGCTGGATCAAACCGGCAATCAGTTAAAGTTCCTTAGCCAAAAACAGGACGTTGTTCTGATCAAGAATTTGTTGGTTAGCGTCCAGTCTCGATGGGAGAAGGTTGTCCAGCGATCTATTGAAAGAGGGCGATCACTAGATGATGCCAGGAAGCGGGCAAAACAAGTAAGTTGTAAAAGAAAGATACTAATTTACTAAACAACCTTGAACTACATGTGTTGAGTCTCTGGATTAGTTCTCATAAGTGTTTATAGTTTGTATTATCTTTCCTGTTACAACTTATTTCTTATATAATTATAGTTCCATGAAGCTTGGAAAAAACTGATCGACTGGCTAGAAGATGCAGAGAGTCACCTGGACTCAGAACTGGAGATATCTAATGACCCAGACAAAATTAAACTTCAGCTGTCTAAGCATAAGGTAAAGCAATTGGTTGCTTTTAGGTCCTGAGCTTTTTATTCACTGAAGAGAGTACCTTGCTACAAGTGAAAGAGCTGGTCAAAAGAAAATTTTAATGGGTTAATGTTAAAAAAATCAAGATGAGAAAGCCAGCATGCCATTTTGTATCTAGACAGTGCCTAACCATAACAGTTGCTCATTTAAATAATAGTTCAAATAAAGTGATTGTGGGAGTAAACCAGTTAAAACTAGGCTTTTAGAAATTCTAGGCGTTTAGAAATACGCATTGCAATATGTGGCATAAACAAAAACTTACAAATTTCTTAAGGATAAGCTCTTGTTTTAGTTCAAAAAGTAGTGACATTTATACTATATCTAATTACCAACCTGGAAATTCAAAAACATTTTTCTTTGTTCCAAATCAAGATGTCACCTGACTTATAGCATGTTTTTTTCCTTTTATTTTTGGAAACAGGAATTTCAGAAAACTCTTGGTGGCAAACAGCCTGTGTATGATACTACAATTAGAACTGGCAGAGCCCTGAAAGAAAAGACTTTGCTTTCTGATGACACTCAGAAACTTGACAACTTATTGGGAGAAGTCAGAGACAAATGGGATACCGTTTGTGGCAAATCTGTGGAGAGGTGAGCATGGATGTCCCCTTCGTGCACCTGAATGTTATGCCAAAACTAAGACTGGTACTGGATTCTATAAAATGGTAATAGAGCTAATGCATCAGTAACAGGTTTTGTAGCACCACAGTATCTCCAGTTAATTCAATGAGAATTACGAAATCATTTGAGTAAAATGTATTAAAAGTCTCTCATTTTAAACTTGAACTTGATTGTATTAGAAAGAGAGAGGACTATAAAATCAAACCAACAGTAATAGAAGATTGGTAACTAAATATTTCTAAATCTCCAATTTCTCATACCAGTAGCTGTCTCACTGAGGGCTCTCACCGTGTGTTAGATGCTATGAAAAGCCTTACATGTATTACCTCATTTAACCATTCATAATACCTGACCTGTACTGAGCAACTTCTGAGTGTGCCTAAAGCACCCACTAATCATTTAACCTTCATAACAACCACTGAGGTGGGTACCATTGTTCCCATCTTACAAATGAGGAGATGACCATAAAGAGGTTTCTTAACTCCCCCCAAGGTCACTCAGCTACTGAGCAGCACAGCTGGGATTTGAAACTGTTCAGTTTGGTTCTAAAAGTTACACTTTTAGAACATTTGTGACCATTATGCTATGCTCAGTATTATAATATCTGTATATTATTTGTACCCCCAGTTTTTAGATGAGGCAACTGAGGTTCAAAGATGTGAAGAGACAGCCCAGGGTCACACAGCTAGTATAGAACTAGGAG